CCCCCCCCCCTTTTCTTTGAGCTCAGGCCTGTTTCTTCCCTATCTTCAGCAATTCTTCCGTTCTAATGGTGACGCAATCCTTAAAATTATTCTCGAGGAGGGTTTTGAAGCCTGCGATACAGGGGTATAGACCCATATCCGATGAGTTCGCTCTTGTTTCCGTCCCAACGGAGTCTCCACTGCATCCAGGTTGCCGGATTCCGGCTTTCTCCACAATGTATTCGGGATTGGACACCGTGCTTTATCAAGCACCACCTACCATTACTGTAAGTGATTTTGCTTTGATTTTCTTAGGGTTTTCTCTGTTTTTAGGTCTGTAATGTTCCATAGTAGTATAATAAAGTGTTCTATTCATTCCATTCAACAAAATGTGTAGGACTTGGGCATCCTTAGTAAATTTAGGAATAGGTATGAAGCGGAGATCGAAGAACACAACAAAATTGTCTCATCTCCGCACATGGCCATTAGTCTAGGGGACGTGTTTTCATTGCTATGGCGCTACCCCGGCTGGGAATCCAAAGTATTTAGGCTCCTTTCCCGGGAACATATTGGGATTTCCTCCGCGTGGCCTCCTCTTATGACGGAGGTACCCGAGTTGTGCTCTTGGGTTGCCCCCCCGGGATTCGTCACTATTAACTGTGACGCCTCATTTGCTCATAGAGCAGTAGGAGCTGCTTTCCGGACACCCGAGGGCCGGCCCTTATACCTCCTTCATGAGGCCATGCCAACCGACTACTCCATAGTTGAGCAAGGGGAGTTGCTAGGCATGATCAAGGCTCTGGAAAGCTGCAAGGAGGTGCTCAATATTTGCTCTCAAGGAGGAATCAAGCTGGAAAAAGGTTTTGTGCTTCAGTCTGACTGTTTGGATATGGTTAGGAAAGTGGGTGCTAGGGCATCCGTGAGGCGCAAAGGTGCCGGAGCTACACTTGTCAATCAGCTCCTTCAACAAGCTACCAATCTAATCCGGAAGATTGAAGAAGAAGATGGCAAAAGAGTGCATGTCTTTTACACTCGGCGCGAATGGAACCAACTAGCGGATTTTTTGTCCGTCTATGGAGGCATGAGCTACAGCTCCTCGACTTCGGAGGACGAGGAAGAAGATGAAGAGGATCTTGTGTCGGCCACCTTCAAGAGAATAATCGCCGATGATAAAGAAGGGGCACTCTTTTTCCGTCACGAGGACTACGCTCGTCTTGGAAAATGTAAGTAGTTTTATTTAAATTATATCGTGCGCGTCTTTGTTTGTTTTTGTTTACTTATAAGTATATATATATATATATATATATATATTGTTTAATGTTTTTAAACAAAAAAATTCAGTGTATGGAGTTGAGATTTCAAAAAGAAAGAGGCTGCCCAATTGAGTGCCAAATGATGAAGGTGATGCAGAAAGTATTGTTTGATATTGTCCAGTCTAATATATATATATATATATATATATATATATCCTTGGATGGCCGGCAACATGGTGGCAGGCTACAACAAACACAAATTAGTAGCACCCACTGTTCAGTTATGTGGGTGGGTGCAGTTCAAAGCTTGTGTAATATGTAAAGCTCGATCGAGGAGGCCAGGCCTGGATTTCTTCATGGAAAGTATATGTCACAGTTCAGGTAAACTATTTATATCATATAGGGGAATTGAAGAACACTTCTCTCTCTCTCTTTCACAATTCTGGCAGATGATTGATATGTTTAATCTGAAGATGTGAGAGTAGTAATCTCTTTTGTGCCACATTACGTAGCAGAATCTTTGGCTATTTTGTTTTAAAATTCCGGTAGAATGCATCAAATTCCGTGTGGTGTGTCCAAACGTTAAAGTGAATAAAGAACATATAAATAGGAGGGCTGGGCCAGCCCACAAAAAGACCCAAATTAGAGGGAAACAAAATCAGACATTACAACAATAAGCATATATGTGAAGGGAGGGAATATTATACATTATTCTTTCAATCTAATGACACATCTCTTCCCATTACTCTTGGATAATGAATTTCTGTATTGATTCTCTTTCAATATAATTTAGCTACCTAGAGATGGTAAACAACCTAAATTACTACCCTTTCATCTTAATTTAAATCACCTATTTCAGTTTACGATTTTTTCTTCAAGTTGTTTTTCAATACCAAATACTCCGTATAATTAATTGAGAAATAGAGCTAAATTCAAAATTCACATATTAAAAAATTACATCAAAGACTATGAAATAAGAAGTGATATAACTATATCATTTCTTAAAACTACTTGTAGTTTTTTTTAACCTGTGCTACGCACAGGGCTGAACTTTTTTTTGTGTAGTAGTTTCTCTTTTAAAATATAACTTCTATATAAGATTTGTTTAATTGAGAGAGAAATAAATTTCATGCAAATTTCAATTTTAATTCCTTAAGTTTGGTTGGTAAAAAAAATCTTTTTTTTGAGGACATATATTTTCAACTCAAAAAGGAAAAAATGACTTTATTTTCCTTTGGACGAAAGTTTATTTTTTTACTCCTCGAGTCTTCTGGTTTCATGAACAAAGCAAAGAACCCCCCTCCCCCTCCCCATGCACCACGTCCCAAATTGTAGAGAATGGAACTCTATAATGGAAGTTTGATACCAAATCGAATATAAAAAACTAATTATGCAGCCAAAAATATTTTTAAATTGTGTCAAAATATCTTTGTTTTTTATTTAAATATCAACAACGTACTAATGTGAATAAATTCTAACAAATAATGAAAAATTATTTTTTAGATAAAATTCTTCTTATCAAACAATCTAAAAAAGAGGGGAAATAATTTTTCGTGAAAAACATTCTTCCATAGAAATTGTCTTTCTACGAAAATATCCTCCCCCAACCAAATGTATCATAAACGGATAAACCTCCACCATATTCCATCTTCTTACATTGCTTTCCAAATTTTTTTAATTTCTTCAAACTTCTTCAAATTTTTTTCTAACTCTGTCTAATATCTTCAAATAGTGGTTTTCAAATTATATACGTGAATGTTAATAGTATTCTTTTTTCAATATTTACTATTATTATTATTATTATAAATGTACAAAATGAGCACCATTTAACTTCTAAACACATATATAGTGAATAGATAATAGCACCAAGGTGGGATTGAGTGGTAGGAAACCCAATATCCAAAATTCATGGAGAAACTCACGCACATGTCCTAGCGGAGACAGAGGCATTATCTCTTTGCCCGTCATTAAATTGAAAAAAGGAGGAACAAATACTACATTCTAATCGAGTCAATAAAACTAAAAAATAAATATACAATTCCTATACTTTTCATCTAAATTCATAATATAAGACCTCTCAAACACGCACAAAGATGATTGTTTTTATCCACTTTTAAAAATTTACACTTTTGATTGAGTTATTTTCTTTTTAATAATATGATTATTTAATTATTTTTATTGTCATATTAAAATAATTCTTTTGCTTAATAAGAAATAAAGTAGATAATTTGTATCACATTGACCATTTTTGATAATAAATGAATATCGCTAGTCCCCGAGTTATTTTGTGAGTCATATCATAAGTTCTAATTATTTTAGTGCATAAATTACAATTTAATATTATTTTTGTTTAATCGATGAGACATTTAATTATTTTAGTTAAGTTTTACCTCTCATAAAACATTAATGAAAAATATTTCTCACTTCATCTTAATCTTTTTTTTCTACATGAGTTAGGGATACAAACTAAGAAATGAAATATTGTAAGATTGGTATTGATATTAAAAATTAAGAAAAACAATAAGTGTGAGTCACACAAATATTATTGTACTAAATATAGTCTTAGGAAAAAATAATATGATATTATTCATGATAATATATGTTATATATCTTATTTAGTATATTATTTATCTTTAGTTATATATATTATATAAAAACAATATTAATTAAATATACTTTAAACATTAATCTAGTTAATTATGTAAAAGTTTAATAAATCTTTTATTTGAAAACAATGCCGTGAATAATAAAAAATCCGTATGTGACTACTTTTTAAGCATAAATATATAAATATTTTATCTTTATGTTAGGATTATATTTTAGAATACTCTATTCTAAATTATGTTTTAAAAGATTGTGAAAATATTTCTTATTAGAAGTTATATTTCCTTTACGATTTTTTTCATTTTAAGAATAAATGATATTTTCAAATGAAAAACATTCTTCATTTCATAAATAAACTACTCCTTCCACCACCTAAGATCTTCTCGTTAATGAAAATGAGAAGAATATATATTAAATAATGTGGGTGTAGTGTAATAAATAAAGTAAGGTTAGTTTTGATATTTTAAATGTTAAAAGAGGTAATTAGAAGATCTACAATGGATAAATAAAAAAAACTAATAAGAAGATCTATGTGACAAAGGAAGTACGGAGTATTAAATTAAAATACTATCAGTACGATGATATGAATATATATAAAACTCTGTATCTCATAAAACATTGATTCTTGATAGAATCTTTGCTTAGTTTCCTTATTATATACTTAAGCAAATTGTACTTTTTAGAAAACTATTATGAAACACACTAAATCATAAATTGTTTTTGCTAAAATTTTATTTTTTAATTAGGTGATACACATTTCTTATTTAATACCTTATGAATGTTCTTTAGAAAAAGGTAACATCTCAAGAGTTGTAACTATAAAAATTAAATTTTTTTATTACTTATAAATACGTACTTATAATTAAACATACAGAGTATAAATTAATAAACTAAAGTATTACATATTTAAGGAAGTAAGTTTTTGAATTTTAATAAAAATTCCTTTTGTCACACAATCTTGGAGATATGAGTAACTTAGACGAATTTAAAGAAAGTAAAGTTTTCATATATGAAGTCTTTTTTAGGAATGATTTTAAATCTAATTACTATGTACAGTCATCATTGACGCTTCAAAAAACTACACGTAGACGTTCCACATGTCAAACTCTGATTATCTGAGTCTGAAATATTATATTAAAGAATCCTGGTGGGCCGAGAATAACAAATAAAATATCACTTAGAATTAATTAATTGCATATAAAGTCAAGATTTACTATTCTAATCAAAAAGCTTAAACCGACAGGTGAATTTTACCCTTCTAACCACATTAGCTGATATGCAAACTGTTACAGATTGGCTACATCGATTTCCAAAATAAATCCAGTTATTTAGAAGGAAAAAATAAAGAACCATGTTCTATTGACAAATACGGAGAATCACAAGAAAGCAAATCAAACCAATGTTTTTAACACCTACTCCCCGTCCCAATTTTTAGTGCCTGTTTCAGTTTACAATGTTTAACTAAAATTATTTTTAAATCATTTTATATGACTAGTATAGAGTTAAAAAATAAAAATTACATATTAAAATATTACACCAAAAGATCTACAAAACTAGTAGTGACAATATGACTTTATTTTATCAAATTGTTAACGAAAATAGATAAAGAAAGTGAATGAACTTTGACACTGTGAATAATGAACAAGTACTATAAATTGGAACGGAAGAAGTACTACTTTGCACACTATGACTATTTTAGATTTTTAGGTTTGGTTATATTTATTATACTAAGCACATACTACCTCCGTCCCACTCTTTTTGTCCAGTTTTGACTTTAGGAACTGTTCATCTAAATACTTTGACTCATCAAATTCTCTCAATGTGTAAGTCTAAAAATAGTCATGTGTGATCTTGTTTGATTTGTCTTAACATATAGATTATTAATATATAATTTTTATAATTTTTTAATATATAAATTACAAGATAAAATAGATTAAAGAAGTACATTGGATGGTGTGCAAAAATGAAAGTGGACAAAAAGAGTGGGACGGAGGGAGTAATTTATATTGGCCAAACTATTCAAGTAGAAAGTACGTAGTAACTAATATCACATCTTATTTTACTCCTGCCAACCCATATATCTAAAGTAACGAAAATATGTAAAGAATGTGAATGAAACTTGATGGAAGATGTACCAAACATAAAAATTCAATGTTAATGCCAGACACAAACACACAAGCGAGCACACACTGATAACCAAATACATCGTTCCAAAAGGTGGAATCGCCCCCCAGGCACCCCCACCCCTTGCCCACTGATAACCAAATACATAATTTGACATAATATATTTCTTCCAAACATACAACTACTATTACAACAACCCCAACACAATCTTACAAAAGAATATGTCTAGGGCGAGAGAATGTAAGTAGAAATTAACCAATAGACACAAAAGTGCGACCAAGGTTAGAAGATAGTAGTAGCAAAGAATGAACACCCGAACACCAAACAGACTAATGCCGTCAAATAAATAGTTATTTGAGGGCAAAGCGGATGCCTCTTTTAAGGGATGAGGCAAACAAATTCCATCCCTTAGTGTTTAAGAACTTCAAACCTACTGGCACATCGCGCAGGGATCTTAATGGATGAAATGTCAGTGGTGCAAATTGATTGGCACAAGGCAATGAACAAGTGTGGAAAGGCTTCAACAAAGTGCCAGAAAAGGGAGGCGGACGAGGCTCGTGTGGAAACACCTGCAAGAGCAGAGAAGATTATTCAGGCAAATAAATCATGAAATCCCTATCAATTAGTTCATAACCCCACCGGACCCCTACACCCCCCCCCCCACCCAATGCCCCCTCCAAATGTGTGGTCTTTAGGCAAAGGCAATTGCCTAATGACAACGCATTTGGAGGGGTAGTGGTGGGGGGAGGTTAGAGGGTGGGTCAGGGGGGTTAAGAACCATCAATTTTGCGAGCGGAGCATCGTAGGAGCTCCAAAACACCAGTGCCAAAGTAACCGTCCCTAAGAGCAAATCTGTGTAGAAAACACATTGGCCTAAAAATATTTTCATATGGGAGCAAAGCTATACTAAGTGAAAAATCTTGTGTTAGAGGAATCGTTCCAGTAAAAGGGAGATCATTACAAATATGACATGTGCCGGCTGGAATAAGAGTTTGTTCTCTTCAACTTATTCTTGTAACTCATTACATATTTTTATTAGAATCACATAGACCAAACCATATTAGATCAGAAACAACTTTTTTCAACCATTTTTCTATCAGACTTTGCAACAAAGGTATAAAGCAACTGGAGATCTCACCGGATATTTATAAAGTGACGGCGCTTGCCTTAGCCTCTTAATCTTTTCTTCAGTTGTGAGACGGGCTGGAATCATCATGTTCTCAGGTATAAATCAATAATATTATGGATTATTTGTATGTATCTCACTGGTTAAGGAAGACAAAATGAATAATCAGAAAAAGGGTGGGGCCAGTGTGGATGCCATTAAATTACCTGGCATCTTTGGTTGTTTGATCAAAAACCTATCAACCACAAAGGAGACAACAATGATGAAAATGAATAACAGAACTTCAATCGTCAGAGCATGAGCTAAAATTCAATGCAGTACAAAGGCAAAATTCCAAGTAAAAGGAGTACAGTGAACATACTAACATAATTTTACATTTTAGATATTGTCTTTTGAAATTTTATAATCAAGCTATATTTCACAAATAAAATGTCTATTTATTCTTTTATTTATGAAAAACAGAACTGGTTTAGTGATCAATACTGACAAATTTTACTTAGATGTTGGAATTTACCCCTTTTGTCCCATTACTAGGGGCCACAAATTTTACTTAGAACGGGCACATGAAGCCAACCACCAATTTGGCCAAGCAGCTCCAAATAAAAACACAATCTAAAGAAGCCCCTTATCTCTTACGAAAAGACTACGGACATAGGAGTAATGTGTAGTTTGCCTAAAATTATACGAAAAAAATCAAAGCTTTTAGTTTGATCTTAGCTTTTCTAATACAACCAGATTCTTGACACTAAACCTAGCATTCAAAATAATTATTAGAGTACAAAATGTACAAATAAAAATGTCATTTTCAAATGTCATTAAAACAATTAAACCAACCCAAACACTCCCAAATCATGTTTGAACATATATATGCATGCACTGAAGTTAACTAAATAACAGCGATGCATGATAACCACCTGATATCTTCACGAGTGCCCTTAATCTCCAACTTGAACCCAGCTGCTTTCATACAATCAGCAAATTCTACTGCGAGAACATGTCGAAGAATTGGCTGAAATGGATTGGAGGGGGCATAAGCACCAATATGATGCGATAAAAATCAGTAAAAAGAAATTACAAGTTAAAAAAGTAAAATGCTGAGATGAAATGGTTAGATCATGAGATGAACTCAGCATTCCTCTTCCATGCGGCAAACAAAAAGAGACAAAGTAGCTGAAATGAACCAAATGTATCATTAGAGCATGCCTGTGTTCTTTCTGAAAGACGAAACTTGTCAAGAACACCGCCGACTCGATTAAAAAGGTGAAGCATCAGACCTGCAGAGAGCAACAACTTCTCTCTACGCTTATGTGCGTTGAGCACCTCATTACAACCCATGCGACAAAACAATTTAGTCTTCTCAACAACTGTCCATTGTAACTCTTTCCTAATGCATTGTTCTAAGGGGGGGATGTCATCAACATTAGCTTTATTTAACAATTTTTCCCAAGCCACCATAAGCAGAACAGCTAGTTCGAGAAGTTTTCCACAGCGTGCCAAGGACATACTCGTCATGTGAAGCTCTTCAGTTTTGAAAGCAAGCAATTTTATCGCCTCTAGTGGCTCTTGCTGCAAGGACAGCACCAAAATAAGAGACCTATTTCAACATTTTTCATCTCAACTTCAAAAAATAAAAAAAGGACCCAAAATAATGTATGATGTGTATTTGTAATTCAACCGACTGTTTGGAACAATTTTGTGGAATTCATCTGAAGACACATATTTCAATGTTTGTGGGACATGGCTCTTCAAACAAAATGACTCTTTACATTATCCACGCTTCTTTCAATAGTGAAGAAGCAGTTAGTTAAAGCAACTTTCGACCCTCATCATGGGTGGTCCAAAAACAGCCGCTCTATGCTTTAGACGTAGGGGTCCGACCCCTCTACCTTGCAATGGGCGGGAGCCTTTGAGGCACTGGGGTAATGTTGTTGTTATTGTTGCTGCGGAACATGGCTAAAGAATTGAATAAATACTTTTAGCGAATGATAGTAACGAAAAACAAAATATATCTATAATTGTTAAGGCCAGCTTCATGTGACTATAGTGTCTATTGTGTTCAAAAGTTGCAAGCTTGGCTCATGTCTCATCTAAGTAAAATGTGCATGTGAGTTCCAAATTTGATACTCCATCTGTCCCAATTTATTCTTCTCATTGGGAAGAATGTCCAAATTCTTATCTCTTTTAAAATGATTTTACAAATTGGTATGAATGTCCAAATTCTTATCTCTTTTAAAATGATTTTACAAATTGGTATGGAAACAAATAGTAGAAATTACATTGTTCAAAACTACATCAAACTTTCTACAAAACAAGATGTGACAAGAATTTTTTATTTTATAAAATGATCTATGAAAACATGCATACAAACGTAATTTATAGAGAGACTGTGTAATAGTAACTAAAAAGAAAATTTGGGATGGAGGGAGTATGTTACAACAGCCTAGTGAAATCCCACGAAAATAGGGTCTAGGAATGTTGTGTGTACCCATACCTTGCCCCTAATTTGACATGTTGTTAATAAAAAAAACAAACACTTCTCAAGGAATTGGTTCTCTAACACAAATCCATTCAAAAACAGAGAAATTTCAAAAGGGTGTAAACAAAATTGCTCCAACCAAGGAATGGGAATATAAGCACAAATCACAGCTATATGGATGAATTAAACCAGAAGAGGAAGAGATAAAGTGTGTACCAGTTCCGGGAGACAGAGTAAAAAGATCAACTTAAAGATAGACTCGGAAGGAGACCAATCAAGGACAGCTTTGTTGTTGCAGACTGCCGTTCTGAGAGCCACTACTAGCGGGGTGAGTCCAACATCCTTACCCCCATAATCAATACACATCACATCAGGTCTTGCTCCAAACTCCAAAAAGAGTTTTATCATCCTAGGTGATAAACTTTGAGCCGCATAATGTAACGGGTAATATCCACTCTTGGTTGTTACATTAATATCCTTTACTAGTTCAGTCTTCCCGTGGAACAACGCGGTGGCACATCTCACCGCTTCATGGGAAATAACACACCTGATAACGTGGGCCAGGTCAAGCTCACAGTCTATTCTAAGGCTCTTCTCCTCTGACAATTGTAACTCAACCAGTGCCACAAGGCTATCTACGTCATCATCCTTGATTAGGTCTTCAATATAACTAATCCTAGGATGAACCACATGTGGCTGCAGCAGTTTCCCAAAATTAGATATGCTTGAAATAAAATAAAATAAAATAAATAAATATACACTATAAAATAAATTTGACACATTTGATTTTTCGAATTGCGTCAAACTAATCTAAGAAGAGATAAAATTGGTGTCTTTTTGTCCCTCATATTCCTATGTAGTGTGCACACTATTGCGTTGTTTGGGGAGCTCCTCATTCTAATCAGTTCACTTGCAATTGATTTGGCCTGCTCTTTCCCGTGAATATAAAATTCTAAGTGACGAATTATAGCAGTTTGGTGAAGCAAAAATCTCAACTCCCAATCCTTAAAATCTATAGACCATTTCATGGTCCATAAACACTATTTCAAAATTAAACAGCATTGGCTAATCAAGAACCTCTGGTTTCCTACTACACATACATTTTGTTAGTATTTCATCTTATCCTCCCAATCAGAATCCCACAATCAAAATAAAGTTCAAGGCAATTAATTCCGAAGCATTCTGATGTGCTTCTAGCAATAAAAGATCTGATGTGCTTCTAGCAATAAAAGAATCCAATTCACCCCATTCTGATTTGCATTCCGATGGGAGTTGAAATTCACCCCATTATATTGGCGAATTCCACGTAATAATAACAAACGAAGAAATAAATGGTAGAGTATCTTTCAAGAACATACCATGGCTACGAACTTCAAGTGCCTCTGAGTTGCGGGAAAACCCTAACTTATTAGTATTGTTTTATGGGTGGGCTTAAGTTGACACTGGATTCCAGTGACACTTGCCTATCTGGGGACACTTCCGACACTCTGTTTGCACAATTGATGGTTCTTATCTCTTTAAATATTATGTATTCTACTTTCGTGTTGATGTCCCCTGATTAAAAACACCAAGGTTCCCATGACATTGGGTTTCAATGTCATGGGATGACCCGGGGGTGCTCCGGTGCTCCGTTCGTAAAATTGACGGTTCCTACCCCCCTNGAACATACCATGGCTACGAACTTCAAGTGCCTCTGAGTTGCGGGAAAACCCTAACTTATTAGTATTGTTTTATGGGTGGGCTTAAGTTGACACTGGATTCCAGTGACACTTGCCTATCTGGGGACACTTCCGACACTCTGTTTGCACAATTGATGGTTCTTATCTCTTTAAATATTATGTATTCTACTTTCGTGTTGATGTCCCCTGATTAAAAACACCAAGGTTCCCATGACATTGGGTTTCAATGTCATGGGAACCCCACCACATGGAGATATATATTTATTTGACTCCAAAAATATTATGCATTGAAAAAGTCTAGGATCGACAAAAAATTGTCTAAGTCTGTACATCGCACACGTCAAAATACTAGTTACGCATATAGTCAACTTCCAATTAAAATTAAAAAAATTAGGGTGAGAATTTTATTCCCTAGCAGAGGGAGTAAATGAAGTGAGAAAACAAAACGTCAAAATCATATTATTAAATTCTTATGATTTATATCCAAGGGCAAGTAAATTAATACTCCATCCATCCTCAAATAAATTTTCTTTTTGACTTTTTGAAGATTTAAAGGAGAGATATTTATGTGTTAACTTTTCAAAAATACCCTTGATGTGATGTGTAAAAATAAGATGTGATATGTAGATTATTAGTAAAAGGTATGATGTGATAGGTAGAATATGAAAAAGTAAGGGATACAAGGAGTTTTTTAAGGAAAAAGAAAAACTTATTTGGGGACAAAGAAAAAACGAAAAGGAAAGTTTATTTAGGGACGGAAGAAGTACTAGATATATTAAAAATTTATATTTACCTAGACGACAATGAAAAACAAACATAATACGGATTACTCGGTATTTATTTTGTTGCAATTGTGTGTGGTATATAACATGCACCTTCAAAGTTCAAACAACTAATTTTATCAAATTTTTTTAACGAAAAAACAACATATCCAAGCAACCAAACCAACTAAACCAAACAATCACTCAAACCAAGTAACACAGGACATGTTTGGATAATATTTGATAATAGATGACTAAATAGGGAAACCCCTCTGTTATAAAGGACCAATTATTGAATTTACTCCAAATTGTTTATCCCACTCATACATTAATAATCCTTATCATTCATTTTTTTTGTTGTCAATTTTTTTTGTGTGATTTAAAACTAAAGTGCAGATAGAAATTAGAGTAAATTTCCAAAAAAGTCCTTTGTAATAAAGGGTTTTCCCAAATTAGTCCTCAATAAGTTTTAATTACCAATGTAGTCCTCTATAATTGAGATTTATTCTCAAAATAATTCTTTGTAATAAAGTGTTTTCCCAAATCAGTTCACAATGAGTTTTAATTACCTATTTGGTCCTCTATAATTGAGATTTATTCCCAAGATGGTCCTTCGTAAATAATGTTACTCAAATGATGATTAATTGAGGGTATTTTTCTCTGCCAAATTTAGAATTAATTCTTAAAATAATCACTTATAATGAAGTGATTTCCCAAATTGGTTTTTCTAATAAGTAATTTACATATATAGGACTAAAACATAATGAGTTTCTCAAAATAGGACCATATATTTTTATTTCCCAATGTAGAACCATTGGTCATTATCTATTAGTCATTATTCAACTAAATATCTAGCATTACCTGGACATTATTTTTCTCACTAGTCATTATTAAGTCTTATTTAGGGAATAAAAAAATTTAAGTCCTATATAGGGAAATGACTTATTTTTAGTCTTATTTACTGCAAATTTCACTTTTTTCTAATTAAAGATGTGTATTTGATTTAAAATTTAAAAGATTTTTTAAGTTTTAAATCATTCATAAATTATTTATGAGTAAATTCTCAAAATGGTCCTTTGTAATAAGATATTTTCCAAAATCAGTCATCAAATGATAATTAATTGGGAGATATTTTGGTATTTTGATCATCCAAATTTAAAGTATATTTTCGAAACAATCATTTCTGTACAACTAAATGTAAAATTTAAAAAATACGTAGTACATTGATTATAAATAATGTATGAATTATTTAAAACTCAAAAAAATCTTTTAAATTTCAAATCAAATATACATCTTTGATTAGAAAAATCATTTTGCGAAAACACTTCATTATAAATGATTATTTTAAGAATTAATTCTAAATTTAGAAGATAAAAAATAACATCAATTAATCCTCATTTGAGTAATATTATTTACGAAGGACCATCTTGAGAATAAATCTCAATTATAGAAAATCACGTAGGTAATTAAAACTTATTGAGGACTGATTTGGGAAAATATCTTATTATAAAGGACTATTTTGGGAATAAATCCAATTATAGAGGACCACGCAGGTAATTAAAACTTATTGAGGACTAATTTGGAAAAACCCTTATTACAAAGGACTATTTTGGGAATTTACTCTAGAAATTATAATCATTTTGTCTCACAATGTTTGTGAGTCTACGAGTAATGTGCAAATAAAAATAAAAAAAATTACTTCATTTAAAATTACATTAAAAAAAAGTAAATTTATAAATGGTGCCCAATTGTATGTTATTTTCCATATTTAACCCTAATTATGAGATATTCCATAAATAATACTCAATTTTTAAAAACTATTCTACAAATAGTCCTTGTGAAATTAGCAATAAATAGGACTAAAACATGCGTCATTTCCCAATGTAGGACTTAAACCTTTTTATTTTCTAAATAGGACTAAATAATGACTAGTGTGAAGAATAATGTCTAAGTGATGCTAGACATTTAGTTGAATAATGACTAATTCATAATGACCAAAGGTCCTACATTGGGAATAAAAACATATGGTTATATATTAGGAAAGTCATTATGTTTTTGTCCTATTTAGGTAAATTTCTCATAGTCCTTTTCATCAAATATGACAAAATATTTTGAATAAATTTTCAAAATGGTGAGTTCTACTAAGGTTTTTTTTCAAGGTATTTCTCAATAAGCAAAAATTACTTACATGATTATTTGAGATGTATTTCCTAAATAGTCATTTATGAAAAGTGTCTCGCACTTAATTTAAAAAAAATTATTTTAAGAACTTATTCATAGTTATAGTTTAGATAATAAAGAACATCAAAATATTCTCTATTCAAGGGTCATCTAATAAGACATTTTTTTACTCCTTATTAAAAACTAGAGTAAATTCCATAAAAGGTCCCCAGTTATAGGTCGTTTTACATATTTAGTTCCTACATATCAAATATTACTAATTTGGTCCCCAATTATTATATTTATTTTTACGAATGGTCTTTTGTTAACATTTTCATTAAAACGTGGATAAAATTATAAATTCACACTCCTTTCTCTCATCAATTAAGCTTTCTCCTCCATTGTACTCCTTTCTCAAACCCGTCGCTGAGTTTCTAGCTTTGAACCCTAAACCAAAATCATCACTCTTCTCTCAATTGTTTGTCTAACTGGAGGAACGATTATTTAAATTTTGGGTTTAAGAGCTTCAAACTCAGCGACGAGTTTGGGAAAGAGTATGAGAAGATGAAGAAAGCTTAATTGAGGAGAGAGAGAAGTATGAATATACAATTTTATCCACGTTCTTAACGGAAATGTTAACAAATGACCATTCGTGGAAATAAATATAATAATTGGGGACTAAATATGTAAAACGACTTAGGTTTTATATAATTTTATTCTAAAAACTAGGACCTAGTATTCCATCACAACATCGGAATCAAATCGCTACTGGGCTTCACAGCCGAGATCTGTTCCTGACAATCGCCTCCTTAGACAATAGGAGGAGGCGGCAAGGCAGCGATTTTTCCAGTTGCAGCTGCAACGGCTTGTATTTTCAACGTGGAAATGGAAAGGGTATGCTTAATTCCCAACCTATTTTTGTGTCAATTGAAAAATTGCTGCTCTTAGCTCTCCAACCCCATCAGCTGGGGTTGGGTGGTAGTTGCTTGTTCTTCTCTGGCTGAAATTTTTGTTTTGTTTTGTTTTTTTCTCAATTTATTTGAATTGCTAGTAATTTGCAATTTCTGAAATAAATACCAACCAAGGATTTCATGGAATTGATCCCTCATGAAAACTGTTTTCCTCTTGATTTTCTTTTATTGAGGCCTTGTTTTATTTTATTTTATTTTATTAGGGATGCTCTCAGATTTATGTCTACACTATGTAAATCAATTAAAAAAGGCTGTTGCTAGATTCTGTGCTATTTCTATTTTGCAAAATTTAATAATACTAATAATAATAATAATAATAATTTCTTTTTCTTTTTTTTTCTTCTCTCCTGCTGGAAAAATAAAGCCCATATTCAGGTTTGCCTCCCAAAAACACACTAAGGATAGTGCGCCCAAGAAGAACCGCCCTCTCGTGGGGAGCTTCTTCAAGTTTAGTGACTGTCAGCTCGCACTTATTGCTGACAATAAGCAGAAATTTCTCGATTCTATCAAGAGATGGAATGGCACCTTACCTGGTTTGTTGGAGGATATTAATTGTGGTATATTTGTGTTTGATGCTGCAAAATGTGCAAAAGCGGTGTTAGAGGGACAAGCCAAACCAGTGACTTGCAATCAAGCTTTCTGTTTTGATGGGTTTCTTGAGCTTCATAATGCGGCAAGACATAAGTCCCTCAAAGTCATGAGGTTGTTACTTAAACATGACAAAGATGGATCCAAGGCCAATGCTAGATGCCTTGCCAGGCTGGGGTCCTGCGAAGGGATGGTGCTTCCCCTCCACATTGCAATTGCAATTGCTGCGTACGTCCACGTGTTTTAGATCATTTCAATTTGTTCCTCTGAAGGATTAGGTTGAAGAGAAGCGAATGTATTTGCACAAGCACACATAAATTTTGCTTTCTTCTATGCTTTGCCTCACAACTTATATGTAAATTTTATCTTATTTCTATTTTAGGAATGAGCGTGTCTTTGCTGATTGGGATGATAAAAATGGAGGCATTGACGCCTTTAAGCTTATCTGTAGACTTTGTGCTCCAAATATGAGGCACAAATTGGAGATTGTGAGATTGCTTGCCCAGAAGACAAAAAGGGTCGAAAGAGAAGCTTATATCTATGCAATGGAAGGAAAAGTTGTCGAACTTGTAATTTTGTTGATGGTAGCCTCGGAAAAAGTTTTGAGGACACCACTGTCTCTAGAAAATAACAATAATCTATGCAGAACTTTATCAGACAATGTCCTTTCATTGATTTCGGAAGTTGTTGCCTCACTGGTTCTACTTCAACAAAATGTAAGTTCGGATGATGATACCACAATTGAGGTACAAAAGTGCATGGAGAAGAAGGCCAAGTTGGAGCAAATCATGGTATTGCTCCAAATATTCGAGACAATCGGGGACAAACTTGCTGAGTATCTTCAGTTGGAACAAACCAAAGTACGTGGCTCATATATTCCGTACTTACTTTTTTATTGCCAAAACGTATCTCTCCTAAATGATGGTTTTTTGGGGTCTGCAGCCCTCTTTTGCGGAGGTTACTCGACAAGTGGGTCGTATCTTCGAGGAAGGAGGAATTCATTCCCGACCTGATGTGGTAGAAGAGGATCCAAGGTATGATCTTCATTTCTTCATAGATATTCTGCTGTTTTTACACTTTGATGCATGTATAGTTGCAAGTGAATGGGTCTCTGCAAAGCAAGCAGTCCAATTTTTATATAATATTAGACCCTGCCTTAAATAAAAAGCATTTTTCTGAATTTTGACCATTATGGCATCGCTAAACCTCTCTTAAACTTGAATAACATGCTATTGATATTAAGCTTGTCACCAAAGTACTCCCTTCCTCCCATCATCATGGCATCACGCTATGCGGGATTTAAACTGGATATTAAATTTGGATAACAAACTTGCTTTTTTCATCACAAAAACACCATTCATGTTCTTTTTCTTTGAGTGGTTCCTTCTTTTGGTATGGGTGATCTCAAATGCACTCCATTTGCTGCGCTATCAACTGGATGAACTACGGGGTAAATTTTGCCGATGGTATACGAACTTTCATCATTATTTCACTTTGGTATATAAACTTTAATTTCTATCACAAAAGTACACGAACTTTCAACATTCTTTCACCGATGGTCCAATAGGCGGTTTCTAAGTCACCTTGAGGTCATTTGGGGTCAAATTATAATTTTATAAATTTAAATTTTATGATTTTGACCCCTTTTCCTTTTTTTTCTTGGTTTTTCACCCTTTTCTTCATCTTCTTCAAGACCCCCCACCCTCCCCTCCATTTTTT